GCAATGACATCTGAATTTTCATGAGCCAATAATTGTAGTAATGTGGATGCGGCACCTAAATCCACAAGAATATTGTAAAGTTCAGGCTGCGTTGCAAGCACATGCATCTCCTAGAACAGCAATTTTTGTTTATAATCTTCAGACATGCAGATGGAATAAATGCATCATCAGTTGCAAAACGAGTCCACATCAAAAACAGTTTCCTCAACAATGAGTAAATTATGGCAAAATTAAAACAGACATAAGTGAAATAAAAGCAATTATAAGTAACCTGAATTGCTAAGTTCAAATCCACTTCGCTGTCCATAAATTTGGTTGGTTCATCGCTATATTTTATGCGCATTTCACGATTTTTCAAACAGCGTTTTTCCAACTTAAAAGTATCGATTTGTTGATTCAAAGCCTCTTAAGCTCCAAGCAAACTGAATGATAAACTTAAAAAAAGGATAAAGATACAAACTTGCATAATGATCCTTTTTACAGTAGTTTCATCAACAATTTCAGTCTGGGAATTGTCCCTTTCAAGTGCTGCTAAAATATCGGCAGTATCTGCTGTTGCTGTCGATAGACCGTCAAGTCCATTTGTACGAGATTTCTTCTTTAATGGCTATAACTTAAAATCAGAATTATGCATCTGCACAAAAGTATCAAGCGAAAAGCGAGTTCTTTTGAACGACAGAGACCAAATTTAAAAATATTTCTGCAAAAAATAACGAGGAAAGAACAAAATAAAGATGGTAACCTCGGTTGAAGCACGCAAGATTTCTGACACATCAATCGACGACATTTACGTTTTGCCTCAAAAAGCACTTTTCTAGCTGCAAATTTATTATTTTCAAATAATGTCGAAGATTATTCGGCCGGTTTACTTCTCGCAATTAATGAAAGCACTGAGACTTCACATAAAATAACCACAGTGATATTCTCAGACCAACGTGAACTGAACATATAAATTATGAAATATATGAATTGAATTCTCTGACCCGTCTTGAATATATTTATAGTAGCGTGTGCAGCACGTGCAAACGAAGATGAGTTAAACAAATGCAAAACCAGTAAATCTGTACCACGAAAACACTACAATTTAGTATACTTATGTTCAAGTAAACTTACAGTTTACAATTTTTGCATTTTCATTCAACTTTCACTTCATTGTGGCAAAGAGCATCGGCACCCTATGTAATAAAGTCAGAAAGTCAGAGGAAGGCATACGAAGTAATAACGACCATAACAACCGATTCGAAAATGTTTTTCAAATTAAAAGAATGATTCCACAGAAGGTGTTAAAAACAGCTACACTGGTTTCGTAAAGCTTGTAGAGATCTGTCAGAATCAGATTTTAGTTTGATATATTGTCCAGCTGTTTCCAGAAGTCATTTCGCCGAAGTATCCGAGCTCATTAAAATAAATGATACTGATAATTATAACGTGAAATCACGGTACGAATGAAAAGCTGTATCAGAATGCGTTTTCAATTTGAATGTTTTTGCAGAGCTTTTTTTTTCAGAAATCATCCGTAGCGAAAAGCGGAAGATTCAACAAAAGGACGGAATTAAATGCAAATGGGGTAAGCGCGTATATAAATGTGATGAACGTCACGTTTGGATGAAAACCTTAGTCGATGATGAAAGGATCTCTAAGTTTGCATTAAAAGCATCAGCTCATGCACACTTCTGTGAGAATAGTCTTGAAATACAATTGAGAGACACACCTATGAATATGAGTATTATAAAGAGATATCATCGACGATGTCAAGAGACACGACAATGTTCTGCAACATGCATGTCTCGAAAGATGCATGGAAATGGTTTTCGATAGCCGTGCAACTCCGATACGTCTCTCCAGACGTCAAAAATAGTGATGCTGGTGATCATAACGTAAAATTAGCGAGAAAAACGACGAAAGGTACACTTCGATGCCCGAGTTGCACCGCTCCAGTCCCGAAGAATATTTTAAACAAAATTATTTTTTCCGTATAAATCACCTTAAGAAATATTTGCTCATCCCAATAATAGAAAATAATATCAGATGTTAGGTAAACATAGCGTTTGAAAGGCTCAACCGATTCATCAAACGATCATTCCACGTCAAGCCAAACATTTATACTCAACTATCATTGTTTTACAAAGAAACAGGATCATTTAAATGGGACCAAGATTTTTAAAATTCCAATGAATTCATCATGTCTCCTCACTTATTCATGCATAATCAACGTCTTCGCATTCAACAGTATAGATTCGTGATAGCATTCGAGCGAAATTTCGTGTTAGTCGGAGTTCGACCGACTGCCGGAATTGTTCGTTCAGAATCCGAAAAAGTTGACAGTCGGAACTCTAACCGACCTTATGAACTGTTCGTTGAGAATCTGAACGTCGGAATTCCAAGCGAAATTGTCAGATTTTCCCGACCTACTGTCGATCGGATGCCATCACTAGTGTACATACACTACCTTAGTTCGGTATCCCAGAAATTAATTACCAATATAAGTCGAAGAATACCTGCATACATGAAAAGATCTATCAGAATCCGATTTCGTTCCGAATGCTTTGCAAAACTTCCCTCCAAAAGATCGGAGCTCATCAAAAATAATGAATAAAATCTTCAATTTCCAAATGCATAGCGAAAGAGAGAAGCGAAAAGAGAAGATAGCTTGAAAGTTATGGGACATCTGTCATATGCTATTCGCCTTGTTTCTACCTTTTCTATCAAGGGAAGAAAACCTCCACTGTCTTTCCAGGTAATAGGAAAGAGTTCATTCAAAGTGAATCACAATAGGTTGACTGGCGAAAGACTGAAAAAAAGAAATGAGAGAAGTAAGAGTACGTTTCACATGGTTGACAATTTGAAGTGGTCAAG